CATCATGTTCAGCCTTTTTGTTCTATTTCAGATATTTCATTTTTCAGCCTAGAATTTCCAGTTGTTTCTTTTTTATCATCTTTATTATCTTTGAGATTCCTGTCTTCACCGTGAACATATTTTCCTTTACATTTTTGAGCACAGTTCTACAAGGGATGTTGTCTGCAAATTCCATCGTCCGGGACATCTTAGGATGGCTCATCGATTGAGTGTGGGTCATGGTCTCTGTGTCTGTATGTCTAATGATAATGGATAACGTCATAGACATTGGGGAGGATATGCCTTAAGGACCGTGGGTTATGGTCCTCTGAAGCGGATTGGTTTTTGGATTTAACTGGTAGACAACTTAGCTGGACACAGCAGCTGAAGCACGGTCTCTGGGATTGTGGGGAGTGACGCTGCATGTGTTGTTTGGGGTCCACCAAAGACCTGGACTGGGTTTGTGTACAGAGTCGAAGGCTCTCTGCTCCAAATCTCCTTATCTCTCAGTTGCTGTTATGCTAAACTCTGTGCCTGCTTCTTCAGGCCAGTGAGACTGCGTTTCTAAGTTGTAGCCACCACACTGACTGGGCCATCAGACCAAGAATCAAAACTGAACTGGAGATTCACCCAGTGCAGTTCTTTTGCCTTAGTGAAAATGCCTCCGGCTTCTGATTTCTGTTCAGTACTCTTAGGGGTGTGTGTCCATGTGATGGGTGTGTGCATGGGTGTGTGAGTGTGTGTGGTGGTTTGGTTTTGTTTTTTTTCGGGTCTTATGTGTTGAGGACGGTTGTGTAGGAGGAGCTATTATTGAGAGTTGGAAGTCTTCTGTATTTTAAAAAATTCCACTGTGCATATATACCTGTTTTAGTTTTTAAAATCTTCTTTTTCTTTTTTAATATTATTTATGCCTACAGCATCTGGTCTTCCTAGGTGGTCTCCCATCCAAGTACTAACCAGGCCCTACCCTCCTTAGCTTCCGAGATCAGACATAGGGCTTGTTCAGGGTGGCATGGCTGTAGACCATGGACTGTGGCTTCACTGGGGTGCAAACCCAGGACCTTCTGTGTGTAAAGCAGATGTGCTAACTGCTACACTACAGAACCATGTCCTAGAATCATTTTTCTTGAAGTGATTCTCTGTAAATGGTAGAGTCCTGCCTACCATTTGTGTCCAGGGTTAACAAATGCTGATCTTTTGCCCTGTGTGCCTGTGAGAAAGCGATCAGATATGGTTACTGGCCCCGCTACCCCTCTCTCCCAGCAGTGATATCCTATACCCTTTCTTTACGTCCCCTTTTCTTTTTGCATCTGGGTACTGCCGACCTGGGCAGGCCCGCTTTGTTGTCACGCTGCAGGCAGCCCAGGACGGGTCTCTGCCTCCCCTGTGGCGCGTACATATCTAGTAGTTTCCAGTCGTGCCTCTCACCTCCACCTTCACGCTGAAGACATGCTGAGGCGCTTTCCCCGTTGTAGGCAAGCAGACCATGGGCTTCCCTCTCCTCACGTACCGGGACCGGTCAGATAACAAGCTGTACCGCCTGCAGACCCCGCAGAGCCCCCTGGTGAGGCCACGTATGTACGATCACTACGACATGGACAACTACCCGATTGGTACCAACGCCATCGTCGCTGTGATTTCCTACACCGGCTACGACATGGAAGATGCCATGGTGAGCTCTGCACCGAGAGCAGCTTTCCCTGCAGGTCACCACGCGGCCAAATGTCACATGGCCCTTCCACGTCCCAGTCACAGCCGCGGCGCTGCGCATGGGCGCTAGATGTTGGGGCATGCATGTGCCCTGCGCATTTCCAGGCGGGGCTGAGACGCATCCGCGCAGGGCTCCTGGGTATTTCCGCCTTCAGCGTGCGTGCATAGTCAGAGTTTAAGGCGTTTGGAGGTGGGTTTCGGTAGTCAACCCGGGTGGTGAGGAGTGCGGGCCCTGAATCGAAAGCTGATCGGTCATCCAACGCCCAGCGTACTGATGACCCATCTGCTCTGATGACCCATCTGCTCTGAAAGCTCTCCCTTGGCACCCGGCCTGTAGATTAATGGCCCTGTGACCCCACAGGTTGTGAACAAGGCTTCTTGGGAGCGGGGCTTTGCCCATGGCAGTGTCTACAAGTCCGAGTTCATAGACCTCACAGAAAAAGTCAAGCAGGGGGATGACAGCCTGGTGTTTGGAGTCAAGCCCGGGGACCCGCGCACGGCACAGAAGCTGGACAGTGACGGGCTGCCGTTTGTGGGCGCGTGGCTCCGCTATGGTGACCCGTACTTCAGCTACGTGAGCCTGCACAGTGGGGACGGCGCCGTGGTCCTCTACACGTGAGTCGCAGGAGTCTGGCAGGCATTTAGGGGGACAAGTGGCACTTGTTAGTGACTCTGTGGTGATTGAGTGTGCTTTTCCCGGGTGAGACCACGTGTTGTCTGTCATCCCACCTTTGATTTTCTACTTGTCACTCTTACAGCTAATGGAAGGCCCAGTTTATTTTAAAACTGTTAGTCAAACTTGGTCTTCCCCGTAGCAGTGGTGTGGGAAGGTTTCCTAGACAACACGTTGGCTTCATCAGGCCTCTTATTGAAAATACTATTTTAGTTCTGTGGTGAACGGAGCCAGCGCTGTCACTTCTGGGCATTGTCAGGGATGCTAGCTCTGTTCAGACTGGAAAACAGAGCTCAGCCCGTCTTGCACACACCCATGTGAGGAACTGACCATCCGAATGTCACTCCCATGTTTTCTAGGAGCAAGGAGAGCTGCATCGTGGACAACATCAAAGTGTGCAGTAATGACGCCGGCACGGGGAAATTCAAGTGTGTCTGTATCACAGTGAGGGTACCCCGGAACCCGACCATCGGAGACAAGTTCGCCAGCCGCCATGGGCAGAAGGGCATCCTGAGCAGACTGTGGCCGGCAGAGGACATGCCCTTTACTGAGAGTGGGATGGTCCCCGACATCCTGTTCAACCCTCACGGGTTCCCGTCGCGCATGACCATTGGCATGCTGATTGAGAGCATGGCCGGCAAGTCGGCAGCCCTGCATGGGCTCTGCCAGGATGCCACACCCTTCACTTTCTCAGAGGAGAACTCAGCCCTGGGGCACTTCGGCGACATGCTGAAGGCTGCCGGCTATGCCTTCTACGGCACTGAGAGGCTGTACAGCGGCATCAGCGGGTTGGAGCTGGAGGCAGACATCTTCATAGGTGTGGTTTACTACCAGCGCTTACGCCACATGGTCTCTGACAAGTTCCAGGTCAGAACCACCGGGGCCAGGGACAGGGCCACCAACCAGCCTGTCGGGGGCCGGAATGTGCAGGGCGGGATCCGCTTCGGGGAGATGGAGCGAGATGCCCTTTTGGCCCACGGGACGTCCTTCTTGCTCCACGACCGCCTCTTCAACTGCTCCGACCGCTCGGTGGCCCACGTGTGTGTCAGGTGTGGCAGTCTGCTGTCTCCGCTACTGGAGAAGCCACCCCCCGCCTGGTCAGCCATGCGAAACAGGAAGTACAGCTGCACTGTGTGTCAGCGCAGTGACACCATCGACACTGTGTCTGTGCCCTATGTCTTCCGATACTTTGTAGCGGAACTGGCGGCTATGAACATCAAAGTGAAGCTGGATGTTGTCTGACCAAGTGTGCCTTTTGGTCAGCGAGCTGCCAGGTCAGAATGAAAGGGAACCCCCCGGATGCATATCTAGGTTGCTGCAAAGTCCTCAGGTGGTTTGTGCTCTGACCAGGCCTGGCCTCTGGAGTAGGGACTGCCAAGGCTGAGTTCCATTCGTAAGGTTCCTATGTCCCATAGGGACCCTTCTAGAACAAGGAAGGTGTATGGGAAATAGTCCGACCCTGGGTGTTTGTCGCTTTCAGCAGGCTGTGGCTGTCACCGTCATCGAGAGCAGAGCGGTCCAGTACAAACGTCACACAAGCCATGTGTGATTTTGTGTTTTCTTACATCTACCTTAAAGTAAAAGTAAGACAATATTTTCAACAGCTTTATTGAAGTAATTGGTACAAAACGCTGCACATGTTTAATGCACATAATTCCCGCCATTGGGAGAGTAAACACCACCTCCAAAAACCTGTGTCCCTGCCCCTTTGGCGAATGTGTGTGAAACTGACGTCTCCTCTCTTAGGGAACTCATAGGTGGACAGAGCAGCGCTGTCACAGGTACCACGCTGCAAGCAGATCTGTGCACACTTGCCCTGTATGAGAACTTCACACCCATGAACAGCAGGTCACTGTGCTCCCGTCCCCAGCCCCTGGCTGCCACCCTTCCATTCTGCTGAGTTTGACTATTTTAGATGCTGATGTGACTGGCTTGTTACAGCATAGTGTCCTCAAGGCTTATCCATGTGGGTCTCATTTTTTAGGCTGAATAATCCATCATACGTATGTAATACATTTTTTATCCATTCCCCTCTTGAGGGACATTTAGGTGGTTTATCTGAGAAATAATGTTAATTATTTCTAAGGAACCAATTAATATAGCTACTATAATGTAGGTATTATAGCTATTTAATATAGCTATTATAAATATAAAATACCATTTGAGCATGTAGTAAATATTAAAACGTATTGAGATATTTTACATTATTTTTTCACACAGTCTCTCAAAACCAGTGGCTGTTTCTTCTGTGTTCCGCTGCACCTTGCAGTCCAGTGGGATGTCTGGGCTGTTCCATTCTTAGCTCTCACAGCATTGCATATACTTGTGTGAGTATCAGATGCTCTTTGTTGTGAAGAACTTTCCTAAGATTACTCTTTTCTTAGTTTGGGTTTAGGTGTCTGTCACTAAGTATAGGCAGATAAGGCTAGATAGAAAAAGTATCCCAGGTGTATCCTGGCTTTGTTTCTTGAAACTCTTGAAAAAAACAAGGAAAAACACCTTGACTCTCTCGGCTGATATCCCCGTCAGAACCCAATCTGGACTGCCCCATCCCACCCCAGTCCTCACGCTTCAGCCCCACAGCTGTCTGTCCAGGTTCTCCCACTATTTTTCAGCAGCACTAAAAATAGTAAAAACAAAATTTTTTAGCTTTTATTTTAAATTACAGGTTCACAACAGAGACTGATATTGGGACAGGTTACAGAGCTGACTCCTCATCAGTTTCACATGTTCTCAAGTAGGGGAATCTGTTCACTGTTGTCACCAACACAAGACAGCTGTTCCGTCTCCATGGGCTGCCATGTGCTGGTGACCCCTTATATCTATCTGCACCCAATCTTTAACCCATGAGTCTGCCCTCCATTGCTGTAATTTTGTCATTCCAAGAGTATTATATAAATAGAATCACAGTTTGTAACCTTTGAGATGCCTTGTCCATGTGACATAATTCCCTGCAGTGCATCCAGGCCATTGTGTATATCAGGCATTGGTTCCTTTTTGCAGCTGCTTGTCCTCCATGTGTGGGTGTAGCAGTGTTCAACCAGCCACCTGCAGAAGCACATTGTGGTTCCCTGTTTTGGTGGCTACAAATAGAGCTGCTCTGAACATTCATGAACAATTTTTCTGTGAAAGGACATTATCATTTCTCTGGGACAAATGGCCAGGAATAAACTTGCCGAGTTTAGTTTTAAAAGAAACCAGCAAACCTTTCCCAGTGGCCGTGCCATTGTCCACCCCACTATCCTGACCTGCACTTGATAGTGGTATTTCCCTGATGGCTGATGATGTTGGATGTCTCATGGGCTATCAGCATCTGGGCAGTGACTGACTCTTTTGCTTATCTTCTAAGTGGCTTGTCTGCCTTCTTCCTGGACACACAGGACCCTCAACCCCACATCACCTAGACATCTGACCTCCAGAGTGTAAAGGCCAAAAGGCAACCAGAAGTCGGGCTCGCATGTCATCCTTCCCAAGGGCAGTGTTCCCATGCTAGGGACTTCATGGTGCCTACTTACAAGCCCAGCCCTGTGAGCCACTTCCTGTGGGAACCCATGTGATGTACCTGGACTTGGGGATGCAATTCGGGGACAGGGCCTGGGGCAGGTTGACTTCCTTGTCCCAGGAGAGGGACGGCTGAAGACTCGGTCTACATTCGATGCCACGAAGTCCCATGTCCCTTATCCCTTCCTCCCACCCAAAAGACACTTGAAAGGTTTTGCAAGAAGGAGAAGGCAGGGGCCTTGGGTGAAAGGACTTCCGTGCATGTGTCTCCAAACCTATCTCCGCGGCCGGTTCAGGTGTTGCGCTCAGGGACAGCTGCACAGACCCGGCTCTGTGCCCCAGGGAAAAGTGTCATTGTCACACCCATGTCACAGACAGGCACGCAGAGGCTCCAGGTGTCAGTGGCCCTCAAGCAGCTCTGTCTGGAACGCTGAGACAACTGCACGTGGGTTAGTTTGGCCAGGGTTTTTGCATGCTCGCTGCGGTACCGGTGCCCGCTCGGACCCGGAACACTCATGCCCCGCCTCCCACCGCGGGGCAGCCTGGACCCAGCCTTACCGCAGATTAATACCACACCAGGAGGCTACGCAGAGGAGCCTGGATGAAAATTCCCGTCCCCGGTTTCTAGGCTCCCGCTAGGGGGCGTGCCCGGGTAACGCAAACCAGGACACGGCTCTGGGGTGACGCCCCTTCCGGCTGGCTCCGCGCACGCGCAAGAGCCAGCGTCCGCCGCAAGGACGGCGAGCGCATTCGTACAGCAGACGGCAGCAGGGCCCCCAGCCAAGACTTGAGAGGCAAATGCTGAGGGGCCGCAGCAAAGGATAGGCGCGCGCCACTAGCTACAGTCGGGTGATGGAGCGTGTGTTACTGTGCCCGCGCTCGCCTTCGTGTCGAGGCACTGCCGTACTTCCCATTATTTCCTGTGAAGTGTGGGGATCGCCACGAGCAAGCCGGAAATAGAAAAAGGCTACCGAGCCAGACGGGCCGGATGTTCCTGTCCAGGCACCGCCATTGCAGGCTACGGTTGGAAGTGGCTAGCGGGGCGCAGCCGTTGCAAGTAGGGGCCGGAAGTACAGCATGGCGTCGCCATTGCAGATCGGGGCGGAAGGAGATTCAGGACGCCGCCATGATGGTTTGGTCGTTTGTCCGCTGTGCGACTGACGGGAAAAAACGAGGTAGGAGGGCTGGGCGGCTCCATGACAATCTAACACCGGAAAAGGCGGGCGCACCTCCCTGACGGACTCCTCGGCAACGGCCTCATCATGTGAGTAGCGGGGGCGCATGCCCAGCGCTTGCCGCGCACGCCTTCTCTCCGGTGACCCGGACCTAGGCCGGGACCCAGGAGGAGGGGTCGCATCTGTTCTTGTTGATCCCCATCCCCGCATGTCCAGACCCGCTCCCCCGTGGGAACTGAAAACTTTAAGGTCCACTGACACCCAAGCCGCCCCCAGGATTCCAGGCCCAGCCTTGGAACTCCACGTTCCGCCCCCCGGGTCACTCCACCTTCCCTTCGGGATGTGTCCCGGACCCCAGGCCTTAGGGACAAGCCCATGGACTCATTCCAGATCTGTCCCCAAAACTCAGCTGTAGGGCCACTCACTCTTCCACATCGTGACCCACCAGGGCCTCATTCTCAGATCTCCGCTCTAAGACTGGTCAGGAGATCCTCCCTGGGACCCGAGACCCCACCTCTTGGATTCCTACACGCACCTGCGGCTCCTGCCCCCGCCCCGTCCACCCCTTCATCCACCCCCTCCTCTCAACTCTGGGTCCTGCTTCTAAGACCCTGCGGGAGGTGGGGTGGGTGAGGATGACCGCGCTCCATAGCCCTCTGCCAGGACCCCAGATTTTCGTATACCTGTTTAAGGATCCCCCTACTTCCCTCATCCCACCCGGTCATAACTTCCTTCTCCTCCGTGCTCTGCAGGCAGGCAGCCCTGGAGGTCACTGCCCGCCACTGCAGCCGGGAGCTGGACCAGTATGGCCAGTGTGTGGCGGCCAAGCCTGAGTCCTGGCAACGGGACTGTCACCACCTCAAGATGAGCATTGCTCGGTGCACGTCCTCCCAGTGAGTGCAGAACAGTGCGGGGGAGGGCATGGCTGAGGGCCATGTCTCCCAGGTCTCCCTACAAGGCGGGTGGGCCTGGCTGCGGCACCTGCTCAATGCACTGCAGGTAGTGGGCAATATAGGAGACAGTGCGGGGTGGGCAGTGCGGGGGTGTGGGAGGACTGTAGGGAGCGGATAGGGTGGGTGCGAGCTGCTCAGCAGAGCCTAGATGCCCGTGGTGCTCTCTCTTTAGCCCCATCATCCGTCGGATCCGCCAGGCCTGTGCAGAGCCGTTCGAGGCCTTCGAGGAGTGTCTCCGACAGAACGAGGCAGCCACCAACAACTGTGTAGAGCAGGTGCGCCGCTTTCTTCAGTGTGCGGAGCAGGTGCCACCACCAGGCCCACCCACTGTGCAGGTAGAGACCTGGGGTCACTCTCAAGCCCACCTCCCCACCCGCGGCCTCCTGAGTCCCTGTGCTAAAGCCTCCTACTTACAGTGGTGGGTGAGCATTAAGGACTGAGACTAATGATACCACTTCTTTGCTTGGCACTCAGTGGTTTCCCGTCCACTCTGAACAAAACCCCAGGCTTGGCAATGGTGCTTGGTTCTCCCCAGGCGACCTGTCAGCCCCTCCCTCATTGTCACCTGTCCTCTGGGGTTGCCCCTTAGCCTGGTGGCAGAGGGTGACCATGAGTTAAGGGTCTCAGTTTTTCGTGGATATGGCTGTAAAGGCAAAGGTCGGCTCTACATCAGCCCCTGTGGCACCCTGTCGTCAGCCTTGCCTGTTCCTATAGCCCCATCTTCTCTTGGGCCTCCCTGCTTCTCTTGCCCCTTCCAACCCATTGGTTCTCTGTGACGGTCCCTGAGAGTCTCCAAGGAAATCTGACGTGTTCCACAGGCCCAGTCTCAGCTCCTACGGCCCCCTCTCCCCTCCTCGCCTCAAGTCCCAAGTCCCCAGCTGCCAGGCTTTTATCCAACTGTTTCTTTTCACATGGACTGGTCCTTCTGGCTGACTCCTTGTCCAGCTTAGCTGTCATCTTTCTCAGAAAACCTCCCCGATGGCCCTGCGCTGCCCAGGCTTCACAGTCCCTGAGCTCTCTCACCATGGCTTATGTGTCACCGCCCTGTAACCGCTGCCCTCCCATTGCTTGCTTCAGAGGTCCTGTCGCCAGGACCTGTAGTCATGTGTCATGAGGCAGGGATAAGTGAAGGCTCAGACCCGAGAGCCACCAGTGGTAAAGACTCTCCATCCTCCCCAGGAAACATTCAGCAGTGACCATGTGCTAGTCACACTGGTTCCCCATCGTGCTGGTAATGTTTCTTTCCTTTAAGGCCTTTGGCATCTGAACAGCAAAGACCCCACCTTCCCACCTTAGGGCCAGTTGCTCCTCCCCGTGTTCCCATCTCACAACATGATATGCTGACACCTCCTGGTCACGTAGCGACAAAGTATCACCAAGACACTCACATCTCTCTCTGACAGCTTTCTTCATAGATGTCGTCAGGTGACATATTTTTGTTTGTGTATTGCCCACCCTTCCCTAGAGGCGGAGGTGTGCTTTTTGCATCCGTCGCTGGTTCCTGGTACCTGTGCAGTGGCCGGCACACAGCAAGTTCTCAGTACACAGCAGAGCTGCTGGTGACAGTCCACTGTGTCCCATGTTTACATGACAAATGGCCAAGGCTGTCACCGGACACTGTTTCTCTAGAGGGTGTGCATTAAGGGCAGCCTCTGCTGAGTCCACAGCCCCCTGGTGGTCCTGGGCACAGAACAGGCTGGTAGGTGTCGATGTGCTTTTCCCACAGACAGAGCCACTTCCTGGCATCTGAGGATACTTCGGACTATAGCATACTGGGCAGGAGTGACTGGCGCTTGATGCTCCCAACCCTCAGGAGTGGCCAGATGCCATCCTGAGGGCCCCAGACGTGGGCTTGGCTTCTGGATGTCAGAACTCACAATAAATAAAGACGTGGAATCCCAGGCATTGAGTCCTGCCTTTGGCCTCGAGGGTCCTGGGAGCTGGCCTGGACAGAAGCCTCTCCTCTGTGCCCCAGAATCACCAAATATTCTAAGGAAGTGCCCGTCTCCAGTGCTAAGACCATCCTTCTATCCTGTTAACTCTGTCAACAGCCATCTCCTATCCCCTTGCTGCGTGGGCATGGGATAAGCCCTTCTTCCTTGCCATGCCAGGACTTGCGAAGTCTGCAGGTGTTTCCTTGAGGCTTTGGGAACAATAAAACAGACCGCTTTTCTTCCCGAATTCAGAGCCAATTGAGCAATATATGGGGCAATTGGGGCCCAGTCCCACTGGGACTTCTGGGAGCCTACACAGGACACCCCTCAGTCAGCCTTCCGGGGGGCAGCTTTTAATCTGTCACTGAGGGCTGTTTTCGTGGGTGCTGTCTAGCACTCTACCTGCTCAGGGGTCCAATGTCTCCTGCCCTGAGCAGAGAGGTTGGATGCGCTGTGCTCAGCATACAGAAGTGTGCAGTCAGCCCGGGCAGTGGCTTCTTCCTGTCCCTCGGCAGGTGACGGGTTCTGTATCCCAGCTGGTGTGTACAGGCTCCAGCAGGGGCAGGTCTGCGGGAGGTCCACCGTTTAGACCAGCCACTCCCCCAGAAGAAACTCCAAACCTCTGAAAGTTGGAAGTGACCGGTCAGTCCTGACTGGACTGGCCATCTGAGCTGGAGTCTGCCCTGGGGCGGGGTGGGGGGTGGACTTCGAGACTAAGACAGCAGTCAGACACATGGCAGTAAGGTGGAAGTCCAAATGTCAGCTGGGGACAGCGCGGGTCAGGCCTGTGGTTCCTAGAAGGCTGGGGGTCTTGGCGGCTCTTGTCCCCGGCCGGGTTCCCTGGTCTGCGCAGTGTGCCCTCGGGCTTCTGTGTCTTCAGTCAGCCCTACCTTGCCCGGCAGGTTCTGAAGTGTGATGAGAAAACACCGGGCCCAGGCCCCACTTGATGGCTGGGCTAGCTCCCTGTGTGAGGTTTGGTGCCTGAGAGTACACTGCTGGTGGAGGCAAGTCCAAACCAGGGACAGCACCTCACGACAGCATTTGGCCATGAGGAATTTTCACTCAATTTTATCACAAAGACTTCCTAATGTCCATTCCTGTGTCTGTGTTGGTAAGTTGTATTTTCCTAAGAGTTTTTCCCATGATCTGAATTTTCACATTTTCATAAATTTGTTGAGAATACCACGATTGAGATCTGTAGAATCTAGAGAAAGCCCCTTCTGCGTTCCTGGTGTTGCTTGCTTGTACCCTCTTCCTTTGTCCTTCCTCAGTTTCAACAGGGCCTTATCGACTTTATTACTTATTGCAGCATCTGCTCTGGTTTTGTTGGCGCTCTGTGTTGTGGGTGTTTTTATCTTAGTTCTCTGATTCGTTACTGTTTTTCTTCAGATTTCATTTTGTTTTCTGCCTCTTTGACATGAACGTTTAGCTCACTGTTTTAGCTTTTTTAAATATTTGCACCCACATGTCCCACAGAGCATGGCTTGCTATTTTTCTTTTTTCACTGATTCCCAGATTAGAGGGTTGAAATTGTATTTCTTAATTTCTAAACATGACGATTTTTTTAGCTATCTTGTCTAGTTGTAATTGGTTGGAAACATGTTTTATATGATTCCAATCTTTTGAAATACGGTGAGACTTCATGGCATCTGGTCAGTATTGTTAATGTGCTCAAATGAATCCTTGGTTTGTGGTGCACTGTCTTCGCTTAGGGTCCCCAGAAACAGACTATACACAAGGATTTGGGAGATACTCCCAAGTGATATTAGAGGATGGTGGGCAATGACATAGGGCATGGAAAGCATCACGGGAGGCATGTGTTGTCAGGCATTCATCACTGTAGGTAATAGTGTGGTTCTCTGGGGACAGAAGGCTTGCTTTGCACTCAAGGGGTAGGGGGCTATTCATACACTGCCCTCCCAACAGCCAAAACGTCAGTGTCATGAAACGCGAAAGAAGCACAGGGGACAGTATGAATTGGGAAAACGCCTCAGCAAGAAAAATATCAATAACTTTAACCCAGCAATTCACCATCTAGAAGTCCATAATAAGGAAATAATTCTAAAAATCAGCAAAAGATTCAACTACAAGGGTTTCACCACATTGTGGTTTGTAACCACGGCAAAGGAAGGGACGTAATTATTTTAAATATAGGGCTGGGTCCATACACTTGGGAGCACCTGTGGAGTAGAACACAATGCAGTCATCCCAGGAAGAGACATTAACAGTGTTTGGTGACGTGCCCCACCCATTCTCAGTTTCGTTCAGGTGAAAAAAAATGTGTGCAAGAGCAGCCAAAACATTTTTGACAAAGAAAAACAGTGAAGGGGGCATGTGTCATTCTGACATCAGAACGTGGCACAGTGATCGGTGTGGGGAGGGGTGCAAGTACCTGTCCACAGGTGACGGAGAAAGCTCATATGTAAAAGAGACCTGAGCAAGTTAGAGCCAGAGGCTGCTCTGGCCATCATAACTCGTGACCCAGCTACCTGAATGGTCACTCAGGCCTGAGACTGAGCCAGGAGCCATCTCAGGAGGAAGGTTAGAATGTCCTTTTAGAAGGAGTCGGGTGGCTCTGGGGACCTCCCGTGTCTGCTGGGCTCACGTGTCTGCCAAGGGCAGCTGAAAGGTAGCCCAGGCTGGGGCTAAGGGGCTGAGGGTCAGGACTCCTGGGACACTGGCTGTGGGGGAGGGGACGAGGAAGAGGCTGGAGGTCCCCTCAGTTTTAGGTAGGAGGGAGCAGACTTCCCCTGCAGTGACCAGGATCGGGACAGTGGGTTCTAGTTAAATAAAGATGCTGAGGGTGGGTAGGCCTGGGCTGGGTGGATGGTGTTTTGGGCTGAGGCTCACAGAAGTACCCTTCCTGTGTCTTCCAGGTCTCCTGCTTGGTCTGTCCGGGGTGGGAGGTGGGGAGTATCAGAGGTGAACAGTAGTCCCCAGGGTGCAGGACAGGGCAGATTCTTGAGTGGGGGGAGACAATCCCTGTGCCAAGGGAAGAGGGTCCTTTGGTGGAGAGTGCAGAATTCAACACATGCGCCAACATTAGAGGCAAACGGGGAGTTTATTAGAAAAGGGGTGACACTCCACAGACAGCGTGGTCTCCTCTCAGGCAGGGAGTGAGAAAGCCTAAGACGAAGACAGTGAGAGGGACCCTCAGTTTCAACAGGGCTTTATCGACTTTATTACTCTTATTGCAGCATCTGCTCTGGTTTTGTTGGCGCTCTGTGTTGTGGGTGTTTTTATCTTAGTTCTCTGATTCGTTACTGTTTTTCTTCAGATTTCATTTTGTTTTCTGCCTCTTTGACATGAACGTTTAGCTCACTGTTTTAGCTTTTTTAAATATTTGCACCCACATGTCCCACAGAGCATGGCTTGCTATTTTTCTTTTTTCACTGATTCCCAGATTAGAGGGTTGAAATTGTATTTCTTAATTTCTAAACATGACGATTTTTTTAGCTATCTTGTCGAGTTGTAATTGGTTGGAAACATGTTTTATATGATTCCAATCTTTTGAAATACGGTGAGACTTCATGGCATCTGGTCAGTATTGTTAATGTGCTCAAATGAATCCTTGGTTTGTGGTGCACTGTCTTCGCTTAGGGTCCCCAGAAACAGACTATACACAAGGATTTGGGAGATACTCCCAAGTGATATTAGAGGATGGTGGGCAATGACATAGGGCATGGAAAGCATCACGGGAGGCATGTGTTGTCAGGCATTCATCACTGTGGGTAATAGTGTGGTTCTCTGGGGACAGAAGGCTTGCTTTGCACTCAAGGGGTGGGGGGCTATTCATGCACTGCCCTCCCAACAGCCAAAACGTCAGTGTCATGAAACGCGAAAGAAGCACAGGGGACAGTATGAATTGGAAAACGCCTCAGCAAGAAAAATATCAATAACTTTAACCCAGCAATTCACCATCTAGAAGTCCATAATAAGGAAATAATTCTAAAAATCAGCAAAAGATTCAACTACAAGGGTTTCACCACATTGTGGTTTGTAACCACGGCAAAGGAAGGGACGTAATTATTTTAAATATAGGGCTGGGTCCGTACACTTGGGAGCACCTGTGGAGTAGAACACAATGCAGTCATCCCAGGAAGAGACATTAACAGTGTTTGGTGACGTGCCCCACCCATTCTCAGTTTCGTTCAGGTGAAAAAAAATGTGTGCAAGAGCAGCCAAAACATTTTTGACAAAGAAAAACAATGAAGGGGGCATGTGTCATTCTGACATCAGAACGTGGCACAGTGATCGGTGTGGGGAGGGGTGCAAGTACCTGTCCACAGGTGACGGAGAAAGCTCATATGTAAAAGAGACCTGAGCAAGTTAGAGCCAGAGGCTGCTCTGGCCATCATAACTCGTGACCCAGCTACCTGAATGGTCACTCAGGCCTGAGACTGAGCCAGGAGCCATCTCAGGAGGAAGGTTAGAATGTCCTTTTAGAAGGAGTCGGGTGGCTCTGGGGACCTCCCGTGTCTGCTGGGCTCACGTGTCTGCCAAGGGCAGCTGAAAGGTAGCCCAGGCTGGGGCTAAGGGGCTGAGGGTCAGGACTCCTGGGACACTGGCTGTGGGGGAGGGTACGAGGAAGAGGCTGGAGGTCCCCTCAGTTTTATGTAGGAGGGAGCAGACTTCCCCTGCAGTGACCAGGATCGGGACAGTGGGTTCTAGTTAAATAAAGATGCTGAGGGTGGGTAGGCTTGGGCTGGGTGGGGTATGGGAGGATGGTGTTTTGGGCTGAGGCTCACAGAAGTACCCTTCCTGTGTCTTCCAGGTCTCCTGCTTGGTCTGTCCGGGGTGGGAGGTGGGGAGCGTCAGAGGTGAACAGTAGTCCCCAGGGTGCAGGACAGGGCAGATTCTTGAGTGGGGGGAGACAATCCCTGTGCCAAGGGAAGAGGGTCCTTTGGTGGAGAGTGCAGAATTCAACACATGCGCCAACATTAGAGGCAAACGGGGAGTTTATTAGAAAAGGGGTGACACTCCACAGACAGCGTGGTCTCCTCTCAGGCAGGGAGTGAGAAAGCCTAAGACGACAGTGAGAGGGACCGAGTGTTGGGGAATTCAGTGTATATGTCATTCTTAGTTTTCGTGAGCTACATTTAAAGACTTTGCTTAAAAAAGAAAAAAACTTTGCTTACCCATCTTTGATGTGGACACACAGTAGGAAGGGGAGGGGGAGAGTGTATAGCGGGAAAAGGTAAGAATGCCTAGCGTGAACTGCCTCCTGGCAGTTCCTAGCCTTTAATCCTTAGGTTCTCCATGGTTTTAGCTGAAGGGATGAATGATTTTATTTTGTGCAGGGCGCCACTTAAGGATTCCGTTTCCCCTTCCCTGGTGTGGGGAATGGCTTGTTA